GCTCCATCCCCATGGATGAAGGTAATGGCTTTTCCAGCCGGGCCCTCCTGACCACCCCGCGCGGGGCTCAGCCGCAGCCTCATACCCTCTCCGTTTCCAGAGCATGTGGAGCTGGTGAAGAAGACAATGGCCAGTGTGAAGCTTCCCACGCTGGGCATCCCTTCCTGGGCCAGCCAGATCTCAGAGGACCAGTGGAAGGACGTTGTGCAGCATACGCTGCAGGCCCGGCAGAGCCTCAGCGGCCCCAGGCCCCAGTGGAAGTGAGGGCCAAGCTGTGGTGTGGGGGCTGCCAACCCCAGCTCTCCCTCTGCTGCACAGGTGAGGCAGGCATCCGCTGCCTGAGCTAGGTGGGGACGGGACTCGCCGGCATCGACCTTCCCATTTCGCCCACTGACGTTGTTCGACTTCCCTTCTTGCTCCTCTTTGCTGGTTCTGGCTGGCACGTAAGTCGCTGTGATGTCCTTGTGCTGGTTTCCTCTGCCTCTGTGAGGAGGCCTACCGGTTTCCATACCTGTGTGCATGTGGAGGGAGGGGGCTTGGCCTGCTTTGTCCAGATTCCCTTGGGACAAACACTGGACTTGCCCCCATGCTGTCAGGGCTGGAGAAGCACCTCTCCAGACTAGGGCCCCTCCTCCCAGGACAGAGGCTGTGTGTTGGAATATTAGAGGTGGAGTCCAATGTGTCATTCCAAGAGATCGGTTTTATTTAGTTCTGTACATACAGGGACATCTGTACAAAATCCAACACTTTCATACTATGTAATGCTCTACTGAAAATAAAGTACACCATATGTACATATGAACTGTAAGCAGCTTAATACTTGTGTCCAGGGGGTGAATGCAGTAGTTAGTTTTGCTTGTTCCCTCGGGAGGAGGGAGCCAGGTGAAGTGGAAGAGGCAGCTCCAGTTCTGTCCATTTGGCTGATGTGGGGAAAGGCATAGGCAGAAATGAGCAGCACTAATGCTAGAAACCAAGTGTTGAGCAAGAGGCAGCTGTAACGTGGCAGACACAGGTCTGCGTATGAGCAGTGTGTGTGGCGGAGAGCCTGAGCACACTCCCCCGTTCTCACATGGTCCCCTTCCTGGATGTCCAGGACACCGGAATGAATAGGCAGCAAAATAATGGCAATGTGAAGGTACCAAGCGCAAGTTCCCTGACCCAGAACAAGACACACAAAGCTATGAGAACATCAAAGCCGTACAGCACGTAGTTGTGATGTGTTACAGTCCTGCCCCTGCGTGTGGCGCAGCCCTGGCAGCGTTCCTCTGGCCACACTCAGGGACTGCCGGCTGAGACAGACCATCTGCAGGACAGCGACAGCCTCTGCACATTAGAAGTCTCTGTTCTTTCTGCAGGCAGAAGGGTCCACAGCAGGGAAAGGCAGCCACTGCCCAGCAGTAAGCAGGCTCGAGTGAGAGCACACACGTGCTGTAGCACTCTAAAAATGACATGGCAGCTCATAATGCGATGCTAAGCCGACGCGTTGGAAAGCCTGTACTGCAACGAGAAGAAACATCCTCCCTAGCCCAAACCCTGCTGCGGGTGGCACTCAGTAGTCCTCATCTCTGCTGTGCCCTGAGATGCCTGCTGCTCCTGTGCGCCATCCAGCATCACCCAGTGCATGTCTACATGCTGTGCCAGGCATGAGGTAATTGATCGGCAGCTGACTATGAGCTCAGACTAATGTTCAAAATAAGCAATAACCTCCCTGAGGTGTTTCGTTAAGTCTCCTGATGAAGTGGCCCTTTGCATGAAGTGGAGGGCAGGCGGGATCCTGCGTGACCGTGGGTGATCTCCTACATACTCATGCTTGCCAGCTGCTCCTAAGAGATGGTGGCATGCCTAATGAGGGCCAAACAGAAAGAGAGCTAAACAGGGCAGGGGGTACAGGATACACAGGGAAAAATACAGCTTAGTTTGGGTTGGAGGAGAGATGTGCTGCACACCAGCAGTACGATTAGAGGGGATGAGCCTCTGACCTGGGAATGATTTACTGGTGAGAACAAGCAGATAGACCAGGACCTTCTGCAACATCCCATGATGCTGCAAAGCAGTGTCAGACTAGCACCAACCCCATAAGCTCCCTGCACTACTGCAAACCTACTTAAGCTTATGTGTCAAGAAAGCAAGTGCAGCAGGTGAGAAGCAAGGAAGACTCCCTTTTCTATCACAAGCCAGCCTCTCTGAAGTGGCACCTTGGTCTGGCACTGAATCTGCACCACAAAAAGTAGGGGAGAAAGCTGGATCACGGTAGCACCCAAGTGCTGCGCTACCCCCTGGGCTATCAGCAAGTGCGCTCTAAATGCTAAATTAGCACAAGTCCCTGATGCACCATACGATAACGAACAAGGGCCTCAGGCCACAGCAGGTGCCGAAGTAACAGGGCAAGGCAAACTGCTCAGAGCACCCACAGAAGCGATTCAGCAGCAGCACCTAGCTATTGGTCATACAGAGGAGACAACTGAACACTCAGAAACTCAGCCTGGCCCCATAATGTGTATCCACTGCTTCCACTAGTTTGCAGAAATGACTTTAGTAGCACAAGCTTCCTAGAAACCCTGGCCACTGCAGAGCTAAGGATGGGATACAGCAACAAAGGGAGAACTGCAGGAGTATTTTAATTGAGCAAGTAGAGGAAGAAAGCAGAAGTCAGTGGCTGACACCTGCTACAAAGCGGGAAGTTAATTTTGGGCCCACAATTAACCCAAGACACTGGGATGGAGATGAGTCAGCACAGACCAACACAAACAGCTGAGGGAATTCACTTTCCCACAAGAGAGCTTCTAAGGATGCTCTAAAAGGAGGGCTGCAATAGCATGTAGTGCTTGCACCCAGCTTTACTGGGGGTGGCGAAGCACTGAACCCCCACTCCACTGACAGGGTAACAGAACAAGGGGCCTGAAGCAAAAGAAAGATGGAAGTGAACATCTCCTCGGCTGTACGTGAGATCTTCCAACTGTGGAGCTGCACCCCGAGGCAGGGTGGAGAGGCAGCAGAGCCCCCACAAACTCTGCCACATGCTCCTGCCCCAAGCTCAGCCTGCCCTCTGACCACCGCAGGGCTTGGCTGCACAGGCAGCACGGTGGCAGGCATGGCCGAGATGGGCACCCGGGCCCTGTAGCCACATGCTGAGCCACGCACGGTAGTCTCTGGCCAACACAGAGCCTGTGCCACAGGGCGGCAAGGCTCTGGGTCCCAGACGGGGCGAGAACCAGGCAGCAGCTGGAAACGAAGTGACTCCTGCCTGGGCTGATACAATGGCAGGTCAGGCAGGCTCCCTTCACGCACGCACACCCAAGGTGGAAAAGCAAGAGGACGGAGGAAAGCAGGAGGACGTGACAGTGGTGAGATACAAGTTCTAATATAAAACCAGATCTACCCTGGAGGGATGCAGATGGAGTGGAGGACAGGCACAGCTCACCATGTTCATTCCTTATTTATACATAAGAACCAAGTGCATTTCTGTGACCCCTGGGGAAAAGGGATGGGGCAGAGCTTCCCAGGCCAGCTCCTGAGCCTGTCAGAGAGCCTCCTGGCTTGAGGTGAGAAACTCTTCTGCTCTCTTGTGGGCCTCCAGGGCTTTTATAGTGTAGACATCCTGAGGAAGCTCAGATTTCCGGCGCAGCAAAACTTTCTCCTTCTTAATATCTTTCAGCATCTGCAGACAAACCAAAGGAGTCAGGGATCAGTAGCAAACCCCTTCACCTCTCCAGCCTCTGCATTCTCTGACTCCAACCACTCACTCTAGGGTAAGCCGGGTTACACCGCAGCATGCTGCAGGACAGGCTGAGAGCCAAACACAGACCAAATGGACACAGAAAAGTCCCACTTGCACTTTTTCCAGAGAGGGAAGATTAGATAAACTCTACTCTTCAGACTACACGTTCATCACTAACAATCAGGGATAAGAGTAGGGGCATCTACCCTCAGAACACTTAGAAAGAGCCAGTTCTGGCTGTTGGACCCTGGACCGACTATGCTGATGTCCCAGCTGGTCTGAGAGTACTTGTGGAAGGACCCTAGTCACCTACGCACCTGCACAGCCTCTGTCTCCACTGTTTTCTTCAGTAGCTGTATATCCTCCGCAGTTGGGGTCTCTGTCTCCATACAGCAGACAGGAGGCAATGGTGGAGGTGCGTAATACATGGGGTACTGCAGACAACACAGACAGCTGAAGAGTCAGCATGCCATCCAACACCAAGCCTTCTGCCCCAGCATCCTAACACAGCATGGCACATTTCTTCCAGCTGCCCTCTCTGTCATCCATAAGGGTAGCAGTAGGCACACAGATAGGAAAGGAGCATCTTCTACCCATTCCTACCTGTGCCCTCTGAGCCACAGTACACTGCGTGTGCAGCCCCAGCTGAGAGAGGAGTCCATAAACATGTACGTGCTCTCTATAAGGCATTACTTAGAGGTTGGTGCTACAGAGGGCCAGGCTGGTGAAACACTCCCAGCATCCCCAAGACACCAAGTTTCAGGAAGGACAGGCCACCACTGCAGCTGTGTTCACAGGACTGAGATCAGGTGCTATGGCCTGCTCTCATGAGCTGAGGAAGCAGGTCAAGACCTCCAGCGCATTCTTGTCTCGTTCATCCTAGGTCCTGCTGTTACTTACCTGGGGGTTCAGCCGGGCCAGCTCCTCTATTTTCTGCCACATTTCTTCTCGTTCCTTCATCCTGAACCTTCCCCTGCAGAGAGCAAGCACAAGTGTGAACTCCTGGGGAAAGGGCAGCTTTCGCTCACAGAAAGATAAAAGCAAGAGACAGCAGAAAAGTGCAGGCGAGGTGAAGAGCTGCTCTGTCCTTCAGAGACCCCTATTCTATCTACAGGTGAAACGTGGCAAGAAGAGGGGACAGGCTGCAGCTAGCAGGAGGCAGGCAAGCACACTCTCGCCTCACCTCACAGCACAGGGTGGCAGCAGTGGGCTGCGCAGGTACTTCTACCCTGGCTTTGTGCTGCAGGAGCCAACCAGAGTGACTGGTTTCTGGAGTAAAGCAATGACACCAGTTTGGATGTCAAACACCATTTTCCTGGTGCCCCACAGATGCAGAGGGACAAACCGCCATTTCCAATAGTGCTGGGGCTCAACTGCCCACAGTTCCGTCTCTCTCTGGCCAACACACCAGAGAGCTGCCCAACCCCCAGGCACAGCTCTTGAACATGGCACAGATTTCGGCACAGACTTTAAGTGACCGTTCGACTGAGCCAGACGTAAATTCCAGGGCAGTGAACATTCCTTGCAAACAGAGGTGAGCATCCACCACTCCTTGTTATTCTCTTCTACATTTTAAAAATCTGCACTGAAATCTCTGCTTTATTTCTGATTTTAACTGTCTGGCTTTCATCCGAGCTTCTGGTCTCTCCAGTGTTCTATCTATCCGTGCTAAGGAAGTTCTTATATTCTGCAATCACCTCACGGTCTTAAACTACATGTAAGAAAGGAGGCTAAAAACGAGAATGAAGCTGCCAAGCATTCAAGCAGCAGACTACTCCATTAGAGAAAACACGGTCAAAAAAAAGCCCCCAAAACCAAATCCCAAACAAATAACCCACATCTCGTTTTTGGACAGATTTCTGGAGATCTCTGCAGGGGACTGTGACCAGGAGTTAGTACTGATCTTCCCCAGCTCTTTCCTGCTTCATCCCCATTTTCTACAGAATCCTTTTTAATGTCTGGTAAACAGAAACATACGTATTACTTCAATTTGCCCCTGGAAATGTAGACCAATATGTCTGTCCACAAAGGCCCTCACATCATGAAGGGCACTGCCACTCTGAAGCAATGTGTACTTTGCCAGTATTGTGTCTACCACCATGGCATGTAAGGGTGTAACAAGGCTCATTTTGTTTGGCTAGACTATATCACATTACTGGTCTGGTACAGTGAGCCAAGGGCACTCACCCAGTCAGTCAGCTCCATGCATCTCTAGCACCAGCTCTTTCCTTTCAGATCACCAGAACAGTCTGAACAGCACCAGGGAAACCCTCCATTCCTCATTGTGCTTGAAGATCCACCAGTTTACCCATCATGTGCTCAGCTGATACTGCAAAAAACCACCTTGCAAAGAGAATACCTGGTCTGACTAAGAGCAGTGCTTCTAAAAATCTGAAAGCTTTACACCTGTCATCACTCTTTTCAGCAGAACAAGTATTTCCAAAGAATGAAACAAAGTTTCATCTTTATTTTGATGCCACATTGACTTAACTGTAGTGTTACATCTGTCCAACATTCGTCTTTGTGGGAAGCTTCCTCCCAACCTCATCAATCAGCCTGGCTTTACCTCCTAAACTAGGATGCTTCTGATAACGTTACAGCATTGATGGATAAGGGAAGAGCAAGTGACATCGTCTACCTGGACTTATCCAAAGCATTTGATACTGTCCCACGCAACATCCTTGTCTCTAAACTGGAAAGACATGGTTTTGATGGATGGACCACTCAGTGGATAAGGAATTGGCTCGATGGTCGCACTGAAAGAGTTGTGGACAATGGTTCAATGTCCAAGTGGAGGCCAGTGACAAGTGGTGTTCCTCAGGGGTCAGTACTGGGGCCAGTGCTATTTAACATCTTTGTTGGTGACATGGACAGTGGGATTGAGTGCACCCTCAGCAAGTTTGCAGATGACACCAAGTTGTGTGGTGTGGTGGACACGCTGGAGGGAAGGGATGCCATCCAGAGGGACCTTGACAGGCTGGAGAGGTGGGTCTGTGAGAACCTCATGAAGTTCAACAAGACCAAGTGCAAGGTCCTGCACGTGGGTTGGGGCAATCCCAAGCACAAGTACAGGCTGGGCGGAGAATGGATTGAGAGCAGCCCTGAGGAAAAGGACTTGGGAGTGCTGCTGGATGAGAAGCTCAGCATGAGCTGGCAATGTGCGCTGGCAGCCCAGAAAGCCAACTGTATCCTGGGCTGCATCAAAAGGAGCGTGGCCAGCAGGTCGAGGGAGGTGATTCTGCCCCTCTACTCTGCTCTCATGAGACCCCACCTGGAATACTGCGTTCAGCTTTGGGGTCCCCAACACAAGAAGAACATGGAGCTGATGGGGCAAGTCCAGAGGAGGGCCACGAAGATGATCCGAGGGCTGGAACACCTCTGCGATGAAGACAGGCTGAGATAGTTGGGGCTGTTCAGCCTGGAGAAGAGAAGGCTCCAGGGTGATCTTATAGCAGCCTTCCAGTACTTCAAGGGGCCCTGCAGGAAAGCTGGAGAGGGACTTTTTACAATGGCGTGTAGTGATAGGACAAGGGGCAATGGATTTAAACTGAAAGAGGGTAGATTTAGATAGGATATAAGGAAGAAATTTTCACTGAGAGGGTGGTGAGGCAGTGGAACAGGTTGCCCAGAGAAGTTGTAGATGCCTCATCCCTGGAAGTGTTCAAGGCCAGGTTGGATGAGGCTTTGAGCAACCTGGTGTAGTGGAGGGTTTCCCTGCCCATGGCAGGGGGATTGGAAGTAGATGATCTTTGAGGTCCCTTACAACCCTAACCATTCTATGATTCTATGATCTGAAAGCGTCACTCATTCACATGAGTCTTTGTAGAAGACCCTCCTACCTTTCTAAATAGCAGTGGCTCACAGGGCAGCACTGAGTCTACAGAAGCAGCACCCCCAGCTCTGCTTTCCAGGTGACATGCACCTCATCAGCTCCCTTTTTTCTTGACTCCTTTACTAGCAGTATGAGAAAGCCACTGGCAGGACATTTGAAAAAGAGCAGCTATATCGGCAGGTATTTTCTCCTTCCCTTTGCTGTGGCCTATGCAGAAGGAGGCAAAGTAGCTGCTACCAGAGAGATGTCAGGTGCCAGGGCGGCTCCAGGGCATGCTGACTTGAACACACTTCTTGACAGGCAGTGTTCAAGGCCCTCGTGCTTACTGAAGGGCACGTTCAGGACAAGACACTACCTATCTGCCTCAATCTACTCACTGTTTCCTGAAGGGCTCATATAATTCAAACAGCTTCATGAAGTCTGGAGAGATCAGTAAGGCACAGTCAGTCCATCTGCACGGAACAGTAGAGAGTCTCCCCACATGTGCCAGGGAGAGTCTGCTCCTCCACAACCAGCCTTGGCTGCAGCTGCACAGCCAGGTTTGCAGCAGTGACAGGCCTGAGCTGGCATGTCACTTGTAGGCATGATAACTAATTAAAAACATGAGGCCTTTTCTGAGCAGGCCTCTCAACACCTGGTCGCAGCCTCATTGTGTACCTACAAGCTCTCTCCTTTTCACCACATCACATTTACCGGCTTTGTTTGCGTGTGCAGCCTTTCCCACACATGCAATTTTCTGGCTCATGGCACAAGGTCTCTAGCAGCGAATTGGGAAAACACTTCATGTTTGTCTCTTCCTTTTTGTGTCTACGATAAAGAAGCCTCTATACGGGAAGCTTCCTGCCAACATCTTCGAGGGTGAGTGGTGGACACCTTGAGTGTTTCAAACTTGTTAGTCTCACTGAATAAGGCTGAGGTCCTGTGGTGTGGAAAAAGCAAGGCATCGCACAGTTAAAGGTCAATCTTGCATTACGGTGATCCCACAGGCAGCCTTCAGCACGCCGTTTTACTCCAGAGGCACTTGACATCACAGCCTTGCAGGTTTTTATTAGGAAAAAAAGTACTTAAACCACTTGGTTTAAGTCTCTGTGTTTGAAAAGAAAATGGCAATTGACTGCAATGCCACCTTACTGCCCACCAACAGGCATAGCCTGCAGTCAGCTCTGCCAGGGAGGCAGCAGAAATGAGCTGTGGATGCAACATGTCTTCTCCACTGGAAGGGAGGCAATGGGACCTGCTGCTCACCATAACAGGTCGCAGCACTCTGCAAAAAGAAGAGCAGGTAAGGGAAGTGCAGGAATGGCACCCCAAACTCCAAGGCAGGTTCTTCAGCTACGAAACGGTCTCGTTACACTGGGAAGACACCATTAAACAACACCTTCTCCTGCCTGTGAAACATGCTTTTTCTAACCATTTCCTAACCATTACAGCAATAACTGATTGTATTACACTCCAGAACATCCAGCTACAGTGTTAAGTGCACATGGATTTTCTTGTATTTCTTGGATACTTTAAAGACATGGAGGGAAAAGATGACATTTTCACAATGGACTTAAGCAAAGAACTCAGGCATTGTACTACGTCCTGTCCAGACCCAGGCCCCCTTCCCAACAAATCCAGATCTCCTCACTTCTCCTCCTCTAATTCGTTCCCTTTACCTATCCCATTCCTACTATCCATTAACATTAACACTACCACCACCTCACCACCTCAACCCAGCTCTTCACCATACCTCTGCCCCAAATCTACCTCCTTTCTACCTTCTTGCCCAGACAAGCTGCTCTTGCCCCCAGCCTGCTGTCCTACCCCATTTCCTTCTGCCACTGATTTCCCTTTCTAGTTGTTTCCCAGCCTATCCCTACAGACTTTTCACAATGCTCTCTCCCAGCTCTAGCACCCCTTCAAAAGGGGACCTTTTCACACTTCTCAAGGCAGGAACAGCTGCTAATGCTGTGCTAGCAACAGCAGAGTTGAGTCTTCTTGTTTTTGCCCAGAAAGGCCTCCTTAGCTGGGTCCCTGTGGCAGGGAAATCCCACTTAGCTGAGGAACTGTATCATGCTCACCGTAGGTAAACTCATCTCAGATTCAGCTGCTAAGAGACATTTTTACATCCTGCCCACCAAGCTTTCAACCGACATTGTGCCAGATTTGGTTATCTATGAGAGCAAAAGGTATATCCTTGATAAAAACCCAACACAGGTTTTCTGAAGCATAATTAGGCAGAGAGACATTAGAGAAAAAAAAAAAAATCATCTTAACATGAGCAGAAAATAGTGCAGCTCTACCCATCCATTTCTTGGACAGCTCTGAGCTGCTTTGTTGACCTTTTCCAGAACAATCCTCCGTCAGCCACACATCAATGCTGGGAACAGCCACCCTCAGCAGGTCAGCATGGGTAGAAGCCGAACAGGTAGAAAAAGCTCCTGATAGAAACACCAGGTAGATCTCATAATAAATGTGCTCTCACTGTAACTTAAAATATATATGTAGACATTTGTGGGCTTAAAAAATGCCCTAAAATGGGGGAAAAAAAATAAAAATCTTGCTTCCTCCCAATTTAGATGTTAACAAAACCTTAATTTCTCCATATGCAGGTTACCCATCCCCAACTCTGATTCGTATCTGAACTTTGTTATTTATTACTATTTCACAAAACAACTGAATATATTCCAGAGCTTCCCACTGCCATCAAGGCTTAGTCCTGCTTGTCCCACTGCCACCCTTGTGGCAGCCCTGGATCATCCAGGAAGGAGGAGCACTACCTTATGTCACTAAGTCAGCAGAAAACAGACCCTGGGGGGAAAAAAAAAGTTTCCTTCTACCTTACTGAACTGACTCAGATGACTAAGGCAAGTCATACGAGCATCAAAACCAGCATAAGGAAGTAGAAAAACGGGAGTGTTTTTCTCTTTACAGCATTATGGCACAGGTACTTGCTGAGCTCAGATTTTACCCTCACCGTTTGCTCTTTGAAATTCCAGGTATTATTCCATCTTTATTACTGGAAAATTGAAAGCGTCCTGTGGCACGAAAGATGCATTATGCTCACTGCAGCAAAGCTCTTCAGAAAAGTCTTTCTAAAGCAGCAGCATTCCACTGACGTCATTGTAACATATTTGAACTGGTAAATATTTCCAATGCAGAGCACAAGTGTCTCTGCAAAGCTGAGTATCCTCTGCATTGCAATTTATTTCCTCATGACCCAGCAAACTCTGTCACTCTTTTCCCAGCGACCTGCTTCAGCAGAACTGAAAGGATTTTTATCAGGGCACACATTTTACCTTTTCTCATCCCTACACATGGTTATTGCTGAGGAATCCTACTTTTTGACACAATGATTTGCACCACCTTTCTATTTCCTCTCTGCCTACTGGCATCTACCATCTGTTACTGTACCCAAAGGAGATTCCAGGATGAGATAAAGTTACTTGGCAAGAACCTCTTACTCACTTCTGCTTCTCTGCCTTGTATTGCTGCGTGCAGTCATCAAAGAGCTTTTGGTTCATCTCCATGAATAGCTTCAGTGCATTGTAGATCAGCCCGTGGATTGTCCTGCAAAGAAATGAGGAAAGGAGAACAAGTCATGGTGGTATTCTCCAGGTTCTCAGCCCTGAGTTAGCACCAGCAGCCCAGATGAGCTACAAGAAGCTCATACACTACGGCAATGTGACAAAAGATTTTCACACAGTCCCAGCTCTTAGCATGGGAAAACCCCCTCCACAAACACAGCAGAGACTATTGCACAGGGAGAAAGAGACAGAGAAGAAAGTGAAGACCTCTGTCAGGGAAGTTTCCCGGCTGCTACATG